ATGGTGTGGACTATGGTCTGGATTACAGTTGCTTATAAAGAAGTCTGAAATATGGTCTGTACTATAATGTGAACTATGGACTGTATTACAGTTCTGTATACAGAAGTCTATATTCTGGACTTATAATGTCGTATATAAATTATTATGATTATTTCCCCAAATATAAGAACTATTTTAATGAAACGTAATTTTACTTTAATTTTGAACTCGAAAATCAAAAGTAATCTTAACACCTTTAAGCGACTTAAACACAGGATATGAATGTATGTAGTTATATAACCTACATAACACTACTTATAAAGATTTTTAATGAATACGTGAAGTGTATTATAAGATCAATGATCTACATAAACAGACCACAAATCTACATTTTATAAAAAGAAAATTCCGATTTTTTAGCCGGAATTTATTTTTTATAAGGACTATAACATAAATAACCATATGGAAATCAATAACATTTACAACAACATACAATTACTAAAACAGTAGTTAGTCTATACACATAAGTTGTATAGATTTTCAATTGTATTTAATTAATATATTGTTAAATTATGCTAATTAACAATGACATTAACACGCGTCAAATAAACTTTGCCACCAAATGTACAACTAATGTTTAGTAATTAATTATTTGAAAAACGTAATAGACTTAATTTGTTTTAACGAATGCCTAGACAAACGTGATGGTAACATTAAACCCCTTTGATTTTATTGTTTTTCGGCTGAACGGCTTAACTTCAATTAAACTTCTAAATTAAAAATCAATGATTAGTGCAGACGAAGAAATGTGTCTCCAAAAATTTATTTTATTACTTGTTTTTCTTTTTTTTTTTTTTTTTTTGTTAAAATGAGCTGAGCGAGTAATAAGGTTTCCGCTTAACTTACAGTTGTTTAATGCAGCCGCTTTTTGTGTTATTAATCGCACTTTGATTGTCGTGCATTTAAAAACCAATTGTATTCATTAAACAATTGTCGAGGTTTTTATTTTATTAATTTTATTAAATAAAAATCTACGTGTTTTAGTCTGGTATTTGTGGCGCATATGTTTCCTGTGTCTCGTAGCATACTCTTTGTTGCTCTTACAAAATGCAACCGGAAATTCCTTTAAGTATTTGTTTTTTCTTCACAATACATACTTTGATTTTTTTTCCAATTTGTATTTTGAGACGTGCTTTAGAATTTTTTTTAAAAAGAATCTTTAAATGTCATTGCTCTTGTTTTACTTTGCTGATACGTATGTAGTTTAGTTTTTTAGGGATTACATATTTAAACATTCCAAAAACGTTTTGAATCATTTATTATGGGTTTTATGTAGAGCAAGTGTATTTTCTATACTGCCACGTTTGATGATTATTTAAATTCAATTGCGTTTTTTCCTAAATTAGTTTTATTTTTATAATTATTTAAGGATACACCTGCTTCCTTAGACATTAGAGGCTTTGTGCAGGAGTTCAATGAACTTTAATATAGGATAAGATTTAAAATATGGCAGGTTGACGAAGAAAAGAAGAGGAATATTGCTTTCGTACATAAGCTTCCCAAACACCATCACTTGTAAAGAATCGCCAACTTTAAGTACACTCGCAAGAATCCTGGTTTCATCTCTCATCAGGAACTAATTGTTTTAACTTGTAGATAAAGCTTAACTCTGAAAACAATTTTAACTAAATTTTCTATAGTCTATGGTCTTGACTATAGACTGTTCTATAATCAGCATTATATAACGTCAAGACCATAGACTATTCTATAGTCGAGTCTATAGACTTTTCCATAGTCAAGACTATATAGTCAAGACTATATAGTCAAGACAATAGACTATTCTATAGTCAAAAATACAGACTATTCTATAGTCAAGACTATAGACTATTCTATAGTCAAGACTATGGAATATTATATAGTCAATACTATAGACTATTCAATAGTTAAGACTATAGACTATTCTATAGTCAAGACTATAGACCATTCTATAGACAATACTATAGACTATCCTATAGTCAAGGCTATAGACTATAGTTGAAAATATTGACTATTCTATAGTCAAGACTGTAGACTATTCTATAGTTAGGACTATAGACTATTCTATAGTCACGACTATAGACTATTCTATAGTCACGACTATAGACTATTCTATAGTCACGACTATAGACTATGCTATAGTCAAGACTATATACTATTATATAGTCAAGACTATAGACTATTCTATAGTCAAGACCATAGACTATTCTATAGTCAAGACTATAGATTATTCTGTAGTCAAGACTACAGATTATTCTATAGTCAAGACTCTAGACTATTCTATAGTCACGACTATAGACTATTCTATAGTCACGACTATAGACTATGCTATAGTCAAGACTATATACTATTATATAGTCAAGACTATAGACTATTCTATAGTCAAGACCATAGACTATTCTATAGTCAAGACTATAGACTATTCTGTAGTCAAGACTACAGATTATTCTATAGTCAAGACTCTAGACTATTCTATAGTCAAGACTATAGACTATTCTATAGTCAAGACTATTCTATAATCAAGTCTATGGACTATGCTATAGTCAAGACTATAGACTATTCTATTGTCAAGACTATAGACTATTCTATAGTCAAGACTATAGACTATTCTATGGTCAAGACTATAGACTATTCCATAGTCAAGACTATAGACTATTCTATTGTCAAGAATATAGACTATTCTATAGTCAAGACTATAGACTATTCTATAGTCAAGACTATAGACTATTCTATAGTCAAGACCATAGACTATTCTATAGTCAAGACTATAGACCAGTGTTGCTCAAACACATACTACCATAGAGTACCATAGTTTTATTTGTGTTGGTAAAGCAGCAGAGAACAGAATTCAATTCAAAATAAAAGTATACTAATAAAATGACTATAAACTATAAAGTATATGCTAACTGTCAAATGTTTATTATGGATTTTGACAGCCAGCGTATATCAAAGTCTATATATAAAAAACTAACAACTGTTCTCTCATGTTCTCCTACATTAATTCGGCTTTCTCAAAATTTTGTTGTTGTATTTCTGTGTGTATTTTAAAAACGTCGCGCACAGACCTTGCTTCGACAAGTGCTGATCAGCAACTGATTTGATTTTGTTTTTCAAGTTGAGAGCAAACCCACTGATATTGCTCATTATAAAAAGAAGAAGAATTAAACCTATAGTGTATGTGTATCAACTTAGCGTCAGCAGAATTTTCTTATCCTATCACGCGTGCTATGTAATGGCAATCTTGCGCTCCTCTGCTATAGACTATTCTGTAGTCAAGACTACAGATTATTCTATAGTCAAGACTCTAGACTATTCTATAGTCAAGACTATAGACTATTCTATAGTCAAGACTATAGACTATTCCATAGTCTAGACAATAGACTATTCTATAGTCAAGACTATAGACCATTCTGTAGTCAAGACTATAAACCATTCCATAGTTAAGACTATAGACAATTCTATAATCAAGTCTATGGACTATGCTATAGTCAAGACTATAGACTATTCTATTGTCAAGACTATAGACTATTCTATAGTCAAGACTATAGACTATTCTATGGTCAAGACTATAGACTATTCCATAGTCAAGACTATAGACTATTCTATTGTCAAGAATATAGACTATTCTATAGTCAAGACTATAGACTATTCTATAGTCATGACTATAGAATATTCTATAGTAAAGACTATAGACTATTCTATAGTTAAGGCCATTGACTATTCTATAGTCAAGATTATAGACTATTCTATAGTCAAGACTATAGACTATTCTATAGACAAGACTATAGACTATTCCATAGTCAAGACTATAGACTATTTTAGATTCGAGACTGTAGGCTATTCCATAGTCAAGACTATAGACTATTCTATAGTCAAGACTATTGACTATTCTATAGTCAAGACTATAGACTATTCTATAGTCAAGACTATAGACTATTCTATAGTCAAGACTATAGACTATTCTATAATCACAACTATAGACTATTCTATAGTCACGACTATAGACTAATCTATAGTCAAGACTATAGATTACTCTATAGTCAAGACTATTGACTATTCTATAGTCACGACTATAGACTATTCTATAGTCACGACTATACACTATTCTATAGTCGAGACTATAGACTATTCCATAGTCAACCCTATAGAGTATTATATAGTCAATACTTTATACTATTTCATAGTCAAGGACTTAGGCTATTCTATAGCCACGACTGCAGGCTTTTATGTAGTCCATTCAATAGTCAAGACTATAAACTTCTCTATAGACATGATTCCATAGTAAAGACTATTATATAGTCAATACTAAATCTATTCTATAGCTAAGAATATAGACAATTCATAGTCGACACCATAGTCTACCCTATAGTCAAGATTATAGGCTATTCTGTAGTCAAGACTACATGCTATTTCATAGTTTATTCAATAGCCAAGATTATAATTTGTTCTATAGCCAAATCTATATATTCGTCTATAGTCAAAATTATAGACTATCCTATAGCCTAGACTATAGACTATTCTATAGTTAACACTATAATCTATAATCAAGACTACAGACTATTCAATAGTCGAGTATAGGCTATTTTATAGTCAAGACTATAGGCTATACTATTGTCAAGACCGTTGACATTTCTACTGTCAAGACTATTGACTATTCCATAGTCAAAATTATAGAATATCTTATAGTCTAGACTATAGACTATTCGATAGTTAACACTTTATACTATTCAATCATCAAGAATATAGATTATTCTATAGCATTGACTATGTACTATTTTACAGTCATGACTATATACTATAGTCAAGACTATAGACTATTCTTTATTCAAGACTATAGAATATTCTATATTCAAGACTATAGACTTTTCTTTGGTCGAGACTGTAAACTACTCTATAGTCTTTCAGCATTTTAAAAATTGTCTTTAAACTTTTGAAAACTAAACCATTTTAAATAACTTTCCTTTAAATAATTACTCATAATTAACTTAATTATGGTGCAATGCATAGTGTTTTCTACAATTTATTTAATTACTTATTAATAAACAAAAAATATTTATCTTATTTCCATAAATCATGACCATTTCCCCATTGATGCAGTTATAGACTAATATATTTTTTTCAACAATTTAATTTAAACCTATTCATCCACTGTTACTCCCATACGTTTATGCAATATCGGCACGTATTCATCCCATTGACTACGAAAGACATTACCGGCCAATGGTTTACCCATATTATATTTTTCCGCAAATTTCTCTACTTTAAAATTAGAATGTCCTTCCAACTGGGAATGATTAACATAAGGTTCATTAAATTCCAATTTACCCGGCTGTTCGTAGACCAAAAATACATAACGCATGACACTGCCAGTTTTGGGAGAAATAGGACCTAAATAAGGGCTATAAACTTCTCCTTTATCGACATCTTTACCGGGTATATTCACCACTAGCCAATGTATAAATTCTTTCCATATAGGATTATCAGGATACGGAGCATCAGGTGAAGCCATATAAACAGTGTAGTAAGTATTGGGATCCGAAGACCAATCAAGTGTTGGAGCATCCTTAGTTTCGGTGGGAGTAAACTCTTTGCCATCTCCCACCAGAAGGCCATTTGCAAATTCGAGCTGTGTTATTAAATAACTTTATAAAATCCTTTAATATATAGTTACTATTACCTTTAATTTTTCCTTTGGTGCCGTTTGCAAAACATCCGGTATTACTTTTGTCTCCTTGAAAAGTGTTTCTATGTCACTTTCCTCAGCTATAGCTTGAGTTAGTATTAGTATTGGTAAAAATATTTGTGAAAACATTTTTATCCGAAATTTTCTTTTATTTGTTTTGGTTTTACAAAACGATCTGCTTCATTTTCATTCTAAAACTGTGATATTTATATGAGTTTTATTCAATGAAATTAAATATATCGTATTTATTTTACAGATTATTTATTTGTTAGTTAAATTAAAATAATTTTAACAAATTATCGAGTAATTGTTCTCTAATATAAAAATATTAGTTATAATTTGATAAAATTGCTTTAAAAAATAAATAATTTGACTCTATTGTTGATTTAAAAAATTTTTATTATTACATATTTTAAATAAAAGTAATCTATGTAAAGTATATCTATATATGTATATTAAACCGAATGTATGTTTGTTTGTATGTATATAAGTATGTAAGTTTGAAGTCTACAGACGTAAAGATGGCTGGAGCGATTTTCTGATATATCCTTCCTATATATCTGAAATCAACTTTAGACTTCCTTTTCGTAGGTGAGGTACCACAACACTTACCAAATAAGTTATCAAAATTGTATATCGTAAAAATTGCAAGGGTCTAGAAGGTACTGCAACAGCTTACCAAATAAGTATTAAAAGTCGTATATCTCAAAAACTGCAAGACTCCTCAAATTTTGCATGGATAAGTTTGATATTTTGCTTTGGTGTAAATGGGCGGATTGGATATAGTGGGCGTTTCTCTTCCCATATATAAGAAGTATTGAAGTAGTAGTCTATGTGTATGGACAACTCATATTATTATTTAGGGAAAAAAGGGCGGATTGGCTTAGCGAGCGTAGCACTTCGATAATTAATTAAAACTGAGATAATTTAACACCTAAGTACAGCGCTCAAATTTTATGTGAGTCAGTTAGTTAGTTAGTTAGTTAGCTAGCTAGTTAGTTAGTTAGTTAGTTAGTTAGTTAGTTAGTTAGTTAGTTAGTTAGTTAGTTAGTTAGTTAGTTAGTTAGTTAGTTAGTAGTTAGTTAGTTAGTTAGTTAGTAGTTAGTTAGTTAGTTAGTTAGTTAGTTAGTTAGTTAGTTAGTTAGTTAGTTAGTTAGTTAGTTAGTTAGTTAGTTAGTTAGTTAGTTAGTTAGTTAGTAGTTAGTTAGTTAGTTAGTTAGTTAGTTAGTTAGTTAGTTAGTTAGTTAGTTAGTTAGTTAGTTAGTTAGTTAGTAGTTAGTTAGTTAGTTAGTTAGTTAGTTAGTTAGTTAGTTAGTTAGTTAGTTAGTTAGTTAGTTAGTTAGTTAGTAGTTAGTAGTTAGTTAGTTAGTTAGTTAGTTAGTTAGTTAGTTAGTTAGTTAGTTAGTTAGTTAGTAGTTAGTTAGTTAGTTAGTTAGTTAGTTAGTTAGTTAGTTAGTTAGTTAGTTAGTTAGTTAGTTAGTTAGTTAGTTAGTAGTTAGTTAGTTAGTTAGTTAGTTAGTTAGTTAGTTAGTTAGTTAGTAGTAGTTAGTTAGTTAGTTAGTTAGTTAGTTAGTTAGTTAGTTAGTTAGTTAGTTAGTTAGTTAGTAGTTAGTTAGTTAGTTAGTTAGTTAGTTAGTTAGTTAGTTAGTTAGTTAGTTAGTTAGTTAGTTAGTTAGTTAGTTAGTTAGTTAGTTAGTTAGTTAGTTAGTTAGTTAGTTAGTTAGTTAGTTAGTTAGTTAGTTAGTTAGTTAGTTAGTTAGTTAGTTAGTTAGTTAGTTAGTTAGTTAGTTAGTTAGTTAGTTAGTTAGTTAGTTAGTTAGTTAGTTAGTTAGTTAGTTAGTTAGTTAGTTAGTTAGTTAGTTAGTTAGTTAGTTAGTTAGTTAGTAGTTAGTTAGTTAGTAGTTAGTAGTTAGTTAGTTAGTTAGTTAGTTAGTTAGTTAGTTAGTTAGTTAGTTAGTTAGTTAGTTAGTTAGTTAGTTAGTTAGTTAGTTAGTTAGTTAGTTAGTTAGTTAGTTAGTTAGTTAGTTAGTTAGTTAGTTAGTTAGTTAGTTAGTTAGTTAGTTAGTTAGTTAGTTAGTTAGTTAGTTAGTTAGTTAGTTAGTTAGTTAGTTAGTTAGTTAGTTAGTTAGTTAGTTAGTTAGTTAGTAGTTAGTTAGTTAGTTAGTTAGTTAGTTAGTTAGTTAGTTAGTTAGTTAGTTAGTTAGTTAGTTAGTTAGTTAGTTAGTTAGTAGTTAGTTAGTTAGTTAGTTAGTTAGTTAGTTAGTTAGTTAGTTAGTAGTTAGTTAGTTAGTTAGTAGTTAGTTAGTTAGTTAGTTAGTTAGTTAGTTAGTTAGTTAGTTAGTTAGTTAGTTAGTTAGTTAGTTAGTTAGTTAGTTAGTTAGTTAGTTAGTTAGTTAGTTAGTTAGTTAGTTAGTTAGTTAGTTAGTTAGTTAGTTAGTTAGTTTAGTTAGTTAGTTACTTAGTTAAGTAGTTACTTTCTTAGTTATATTATTTTACATCAAATTCGAAAAAATAGACCTGGGCCTGTTGTACGCTCCCTACCCAGTGCGTCAGCTGTTAATCGAACCCACCACCTCCGCCTTACCTGGCCAGAACACTAATTTTATAAATAATTCCCTGATACAATTTAAACATGGTTAATTTTATATCATTTAAATAAAAAGTGAAATTAAAACGATGTTATAAGCAAATAAATTAACAAAAATTAATAATTTTAAAATATTATTTAGTTTTAAACTAAAGTGAAACCAGATTAAAAAAATCACGATTTTTGCAAGATATTTTTAATATTTCGTTTGAAAACCCAAAATATAGAAGGTTGCGTGGGAATTAGTTTTGCGTGTCAATCGAGAGTTTTTGACTTTTAAAACAAATTGTACACAAATTAAGACCAAAAACCTTAAACAACCTTGTTTAAGAAAAAATCTAATTTACAGGTAGAGGAGATAAACTACCAAAAAATATTAAAATTTAAACATAAATTTTGACAAAACCAAAAAGAAAAAAAAATTAGCCACAAAAACCAATTCAAACTCTATTTTTAAATAGAGATACAACAACTGTAATAAATTGACAAAAAACACGATTTAGCATGAAATGATCATGATCATCTTTTGCACTGTTTTTTGTTTGAGACAATAATAAAAATAGTGAAATAAATTTATAATTTCTTAGAATTAGAAATAAGATTGCAAAATATTTAAAAAAAATTTTATTTCATTTGTTGTTATTTTTCTTTAATTTGAAAAGAAGACAACATTTTTATATGTTTTTTGGCAAATTTGCTAAGAATATTTCACAGTAACAACAGGTTCACACGCTTGAAAAGTGAAGCTGGTTGGCTTTTAAAAAACTTCATTTCATACCCAGTGGGAATTCATTCGTAACAATGCAATATTGAAATTTGTTTTAAGATGTGAGAATTTTTGGGATTTCATGGTAAATAAAGACAGACAGATAGATATATTTAAAGGAAGAGTTTAACATAACAGGATTAAACAGAAGCGCAGTTTAAAGGGGAGTATATTATAGTGATTTCGAAGTTAAATAGGAGGAAATAACAGGATCAGAGGGAAATATTAGAAATTTTTTAAAATTTTTAGAAAATTTATTAATCATAAAAATAACATTTTGGTGTTTGAGGCAAAAGTTAAACATTTATTTCGCTTTAAAACAAAAGACTTAAGACACACACTTTTAAGTGTCTTACTTAAAGTGTGATCTACATTACAAAAAAAAAACTGATTTAACAAAAACAAGTAAGAAAGTATAGTCGGGCGTGGCCGACCATATGATACCCTACACCAGTTATGAATATTAAATGTGATTTATTTTTCATAATAAAGCATTTATCTTCAATATTCCCTTGTTCCGATACATTTAAGCAATTTATGGATGAAAAACTAATTTTCTGAAAGAGGCTTTATATGGGGGCTAGGGGCAAATATGGACCAAGCCCGATAAAATTTTGTGAATATATTTATATTTACATAATATTTTATTTCATCGCGATATTTGTGTTTATAAGTTAGGACATTCAAGTAATTTTCTGAAGGGGACTTTGTATGGGAGCTAGGGTCAAATGGGGCCCGATCTTTATGAAATTTGGCAGGGTCATCAAGACTTCTATAAAACTAAGTTATGCCGTATTTTATCGATATATCTGTATATTTAACATAATTATGAGCTCAGAAGCCCTTTTCGGGGGGTTCTGTTCTATGGGGGCTAGGTGAAATAATGGACTGATTTTAACCATTTTCAATAGGCTTCGTCCTTGTCAAGTAAAACGTGCGTGCCAAATTTCAATCAATTATCTTGAAAATTGTGACCTGTACCTTGCGCACAAGGTTTACATGGACAGCCAGCCAACCAGACGGACGGACATAGCTTAATCGTCAGAAAACGATTCTAAGCCGATTGGTATACTTTAAGGTGGGTCTAGGACGAATATTTTTGTATGTTACAAACATCAACACAAATCCAACATACCCTCCTCACTAAAGTGGTGTAGGGTATAAATATTATAATATTTCCCCCTGCTCTTGTACTTCCTTCCTGTATTAAGAACAAAAAAGTTCGTGTCTTAAGTCTTTTGATTCTAAATTGTGTTTTTAATCCCAAACTATTCCACGTCTCTACTACAACTCCATAACAACGTACCTGTTTCAGTTTCATGATTTTTTTCTCACTGTCATGTACATGGAAAATAAAACGAAACAAACTACCTGTCCGATTGAAATATTTGAGTCTTCTTACGTTTTTAGTCTTATATATACCGTGTCAAATTATACTCACAATCAAAGCCAATTACAAAAATAAAATAACACAAAATTTTATACTGCCGCAACAAGTGAATGACAGGATAATCGTCCTTTTTTTTTGCAAACCTCACATCTTTCTCCATCCACATTTCTGGTTGTTTCTTTCAAGCGTTTATTATGCACTGCACGTTTTGTTTCATTTATTGTGTTTTTCAATATATTTTGTTTATTTTCATTTTACAAACTAAATTGTTTCTAAAGACCTCCTTTTGTTTTGCCGAGTCTTTTCAAAACAACATTCTCATTGAAGCAAGTGTTCTGCCAGTAACTAAATGTACTAAATAAGTATGTCTGTCTGTCCGTTTCAGACCCGCATTTCATTTCAATAAATTCACATGATCTGCGTTCACATT